AGTAAAGTATTTACAGGACCACGAATTCCAACATCATTCAGGGTATCTAACAAATCCGGATGATTCACTGTGTCAAAGGCTTTCGCTAGGTCAACGAAAACGCAGAGAGACTTTTTTGCTTTATCTAAAGAGTTGTATATATTTGTTGTTAAGTTAGCTATTGCATCTTCCGTTGATCTAGCCTCTCGAAATCCATATTGCTTATCTGATAATATATTGAATTTGTTTAAAAAGCATATTAGTCTATTTTTTTAAAATTTTTTCATATATTTTTGTTAGACTCGAGAGTAGAGAAATTGGACGATAATTATTAAGCTCTTCCTTATCACCGGATTTATATAAAGGTTTTATAACCGCTATCTTGAATGACCGAGGGGAATTTATTTTGTGCAAAAGATGTATTTATTATGTATGTTAGCGGTTCTGCTATATTATCCGCTATTTTCTTTAATATTTCAGGTGTGATATTGTCAAGACCTGGTGATTTTTTGTCACGTAATTTATTTATGGCCTCTTTTACCTCACATATATTTGTATTCTCAAGAACCATTGAATTATTAATTACTTTTCTTTTATTTTGAATATTTAAAGCGTTTGGTTTTTTGGATAAATTGTTTATTAAATTTTCTCCTATTTGGTTGAAAAAAGTATTACATTCATTTGCTACTTCTATTGGTTTTGTTAAAATCGTGTCTTGTCGAGATTTGACTGTTTTAATTCCTATTTTATTTTTATTTTTATTTCGGTTAGTCATTTCATTTATACATTTCCATATTTCTTTAGGGTTATTGTTAACTGCGTCCAAATGATTTTTATAATAATTAATTTTAGTTTGCTTTATTAATTCTTTTAATGTTTTATCATAGAGTTTAAATTCGTTAATAATATTTAAATTAACCTTATTTTTTTGTACATCTTTATATAACTTATTTTTTTCTATTAATAGACTTCACTAATCCTGATGTTATCCAAGGATGTCTTTTAACTTCATCTCTTTTAATTTTTACCGACTTTGTATATTTTTCAATATTACTTTTCAGTATGGCCAAGAAAGCGTCTACTGTTAAATCAATATCATTTGGAGTGTAGATATTTAACCAGCTTTCTTTTTGTAATAATTCATTTAGTTTGTTATAGTCTGTATACTTTTTATAATTATTATTTACATGTTCTAAATTATTTATTTCTTTTCCAGGCAATTTTATATTCAATATGATGGCGAAATGATCAGTAATGAGGGTTTCATACACTATTGACATAAAATTAGACAGTAATATTTTGCTTTTTACAAATATATGGTCTATGCAAGAACGACTTTCTCCTTGTACCCTGGTATAATTATTTATTGCAGGTATGTATCCCTCTTCCGCCAAAATATTTAAATATTCTTGAGAGTAATCTAGATTACTTTTAATGTCTATATTTATATCCCCAATTATTAAGTCTATATCATTTGTTTTTTTACAGTCTTTAAGGTAATTCTGTAAGCCAGTGTTAAAAGAAAATGGACAAGAAGAAGGTGATCTGTATATTGCACGAATATGTAAGATCTTATTTTTATTGTAACATAATGTCGAGGTCAATTAACTTTATATCATTTATTTCTTTTATATTAAATTTGTAATTATAATGACTTTTTATGTAGATAACTACCCCATCATTCCTATTATTTTCACCCCCACTGTACAGCATATCATATCCTTGGATTTCATACAGATCCGTATTACTTATGTGAAAAGTTTCAGAAAATATTATGCAATCCAAGTTATGATTTAGTGCTACTAATGTAACAAGAAATTCATCCATGTTTTTCGAAATACTGCGTATATTGTTGTGATAGATAGTAAAACTTGATTCATGGCTATTTTGAATTATTATGTTTTTACATTCCTGTACATCTTGAACTACTACTTCTTTAATAAACGGTATTTCGAATTGTTCAATATAGGGATCCATATTTGCTTTTCTCTCGTTTTTATTTATTAATTTTTTTTTAAATTTTTGCAAAATAGCTATTTTATAAAACTGGTAACTAACCTCTATTAAACATAAAACATATATAATCAATTTGCACGATATTGTTACGATATTTTTGTTTTATTGTGATATTATTTATATAATAGCCTTAGAACATAATATGTTAATTTTTGTCCCCTTTTAAAAATATTTCTGTGGGTACCTTTATATACACATAGAAACTAGTTGATTCCTTGTGTTCTTAACTGGACACGTGCCGTCTATGAGACTGCTTCATTTATAAATTTTCTGCTAATTCCAAAACCCGCCTCAATACCTAAATATTTTTTTCGTCAACTTAATAATAATATCAAATAAAACATCAGCGATATTTAAAATAACAAAAAAAGGAGTAGCATATCTCTTAATATTTAAATAAAGCTAGGCTATTTAAACCAATGATCCAGAAATTGTGTTAAATTATTGTCTCAAACACATATACATATATTTGGCAAGAATAGTCATAATTTAATTTTATTTCCTGCTCTATTAAACAACAGCTATTGTTTTCCATAGATACAAGTCTTTAAAAATGAATCATTCCTAATAGGTTCTGATGTAGGTAGATCCTAGAGAAAAATCGACAATATATTATTCTATAAATACTAAACAGTTATTACATATTATTAAGTAAACTTGCCGTTATGAAAGTATTTAACTTTGCTGAAAAATTTTAATTCCGAATTGCATTGGAGGTCGTTTAATCGCATATATAAACTAGGGTTAAACGGCATAGAAGCATATCAGTTCTGCACTCTGATCTTGTTACATACCTAGAGCACTATGAACTCTTTGGTAAGAATTATTTATACGAGTGTTATTATCCGTTATTATGGATTTGCAACATAGTACAGAGTGATCAAATTAAAATTGAGTGATATAGAGTGTTATTTTGTTTAATTGTTGCGCATTTAAAGTATACTTGATTATCACATTTTATTAATCTGATTTTTCAATTAAATTAATTCACATCAAAATTAAATCATATTTTTCATGCACTTATATTCCGTATCTTGGCTTCTTATTAGATGAATAATTAATTGCTGAAATGTATTTATTGAAGTTATCTTGCAGTTTATGCACAGATAAAAGTAAGCATGTAAAAGGCACTAAGAACAAAATCTATTAGAAAAAAGTTGAAATAAATAACTAGAATTCTCTTGATGGTATTATCATTAATATTCTTATATCTGAACATCAAAATGGCGAAGTTAAAAATTAGGATAATTAAGAAAATAGGTTTCGATGATTTTTATTATTTTTCGAGAAATTTTCATATTTTTGTGGTCAAAATGATAACAATAGTAGTCAAGAATTGGACATTTTAGCAAAAAATATTATTATTTTATATAAACTCATTTTTTGGAGTTAAAAATTAACTTTGGATATCCAATCTCGCTTACTATTCTTAGTTTTCTTCCTATATTCACTGTGGTTCTTAGATACTTTAATTTAATTACCAATTATCCTCCTTGTGTTATGTTAATATTTAGTCTAATTTAATTTTGCGCAAATTTTAAAAAAATTTCATCTCGAGTAAACTTAAAAAATATTGTTTAGGTATTAGCGATGTTAATAAATATTCCATTCTTCTTAATTATTATGGATTTAAAAAAACGATCCGTATTTTTCAAATAAATATTGAAATAAGATTTTAGGTTTACAAATATACCTACTTATTATTATACACTTAAATGCAAATTAAAAAGTTAAAAGTGATTATAATATCCTTATTACTACTATTGCTATTATTTTTAGGCTATAACTATTGCCACCTTGGCACTACTCTCAGGAACTTCAGCATCTGGTTGGGGACATGGCGGTATTGGGCTAGGTGGAGTTGGTCTTGGTGGTCTTGGACTTGCTGGAGCTGGATATGGAGGATACAGCTGGATATGGAGCAGCCGGATATGGAGGAGCTGGATATGGAGCAGCTGGATATGGAGGCATTGGTCTTGCCAGTATAGCTGTTCCAGTTGCTAGACCCATTATTCCTTCTGGCATTGTGACTGGAGCGGGCGCAGCCGGTCCTTCTGGAGTAGTAACGGGTGCTGGAGCATCTGGACCTTCCGGTATCGTCACAGGAGCAGGACCTATTGGACCCACAGGACCAGCTGGGCATGGCGTGGTTCTTGCCGGTCCAGCCATAGGAGCCGGTTCCGCCTATGCCGCAGCACAAATAGGAGCAGCCACCCGCATAGCAGCAGCCAGCCAAGCAACTGCAGCGGCCAATGCTGCAGGAGCTGCTATTGCCGCAGAAACCAGTCGCCAAGTGGCTGCCGCTCAAATAGCCGAAGGACAGCGCCAAACAGCGGCCGCTCACGCAAACGCTGCTGCTCAAGCAAACGCAGCTGCCCAGATAGCAACTGCCCAGGTAGCAGCAGCTAATATTGCTGCCACTAGAGTTGTAGCTGCTCCAGTTGGAGTAGGTATTGGAGGATATGGAGGACTTGGTGGAATTGCAGGACTTGGAGCAGTTGGTCATGGTGGAATTGCAGGACTTGGAGCAGTTGGTCATGGTGGAGTTGGTGCCCTTGGACTTGCCAGAGTTGGTTACGGCGCTGGTCTGGGCCGCCATGGATGGTAAATTAGAGAATTGCAAATTTCAAAGCTGCCTACGTGATTGATTACAGCCTCTGAGTCTTCATAATTTTGTATATTTATGTATATTTATATTAGAATTTAGATTGCAAATAAATTATTGAATAAACAAAGTTCCTTCTTTAGTATTCTGATGTTTCTAAGAGTATTATGTGTCAAGTTTTTAACATTTTCTTCTCGTAATAATTCAGAAATAGCTATATTAAATGTTTTTCTTTAAATGTTTTCTTAACCGCCTCTCCCGTCACAGAAGTAACTCCCAGAAAATCCTAGGATTCTTTGTTAGCAAAGAGAGCCCTACAGTTTATTGTGGATTCCGAACCACATCTAAGGCATCGACAGTTCACTTCCATCTTAATTCGAGGCAAATTACAAACAAAATTTGTTGCTCCGGGATGGATTCGAACCATCGATATTCGGTACCGAGCTATAAGCGCTTTACCCACTCAGATACCATGCCCATACATATTGTTACGTGTTTGCTATCCACACAAACACCTACACTCGTAGATTCGTTGATTGAAAGTCCAGGTAACACTTATTCACTACTTTATTTATTAATTAACAATTAACAACAATAGACTAATTACTGTCTTAATTATAATTACACTTGTACACTTATAAGTCTCTTTCGTATTTCTTCTTTACTCGTTCACGTTCGACTTCAGACTAAATCTCGGCCCACCGTGCGTCTTATTTATACATCCATTGACCCAGTCTAGAGCACTCCAGAATATTCCCGGCCGTTCGTGTACAATTCCAGCCTAATCTAACCAGTCTACACAGTCCAGTGGCGTAACACTGCCCCCTCCTTAAGCCTGAACGTCCCGATCAGGCAATTCATTGTTCCCTGCATACTTGGCTAGTCTCTCTATATGCACCACCTTCATCTTGGATTTTGGACTTTGCTGAATTCTATATACAACGTCGTTTAGTCTGGTGACAACAGTGTAAGGACCTTCCCAGGGCGGGTGAAGCTTCGGGGACCTGCCTTTCTTTCGTTGTGGGTTATATAGCCAAACCAACTCTCCCACCTGGTACCCTCCTGAATTAGCCTTAAGATCATAACGAGCCTTCATACGGTCACTTGCTATGGTAATTCGCTCAAAAGGAGCCCTGGTGTTATATTGCTTATTTCTTATTTGTGGCCCCATTCTTGCCGCGCAAACTTCACATTGGCGGCACCAAGCCTCCACATCTTGACGACTGTTTACCCAGTAGAAACGTTGTCTTACTTTTGTCAGGGTTTTGTTGATGCCAAAATGTTCGCCAGACGTTTCATTATGCACTTGCTGAAGTACATCTGCTACGTGACACCTGGGGATTAACAATTTCCAAGTAACTTTCCTCCCATCTGGACTTTCCCAAGCTCTCTTCAGCAGTCCATCCTCTACGATAAGGGAGTCCCATTGTGCCCATAAAGCCTTCAGCCCCACTGATTTATTTGAAATGTCCTTCCAATCGGGTCGGGTCCCTCTTTCTTTCCATTTCAGAATAGGACCAGTCTCGTTATCGTTTAACTGCGCTTTCCTTAACGACTCTTTTGTCCAATAATCCGGAACATCAATCTTAACGGTCTTCATTATTTGTACATTCTGTTATTCTTCCTTACGGTAGCAAGGCTTGCAGTCTTTCTGACACGGTCTTTTGGAAAGGCCATCTGCTATATTCCGCGAAGTACCAGCTCGCCAGTTTTCCTGCGGCTTCTCCATTACTGCGACTCTCTCAGGGATGCGCTGACGACAGTTACTCTGAATATGGCCCACTCTGCCACACTTATAACAGCGCATACGTCCTCCACTCTGTCTCCCACTACTTTGTTGTTGGGTTTGTCTCGGATCTTTAATGTTGAGCTCATGACACTTCCTCTTAATATGGCCCAATTTGCCACACATATAGCAACGGATGTCTCCAGTCGGCCTCCCACTACTTCGTTGTTGGTCTTGTCTCTGCTGGGAGTTCGATTTTGTCAGTAGTTGGGTGATCATTTTGTGTATATCAGATATCAGATTTTGTGTTGTGTTGTCTGGCTTGTCTTCCTCCACACTCACAGCTCGTATTCTCTGATTTGATTGGGTGGTATCCTTGTAGGCAGCCTCAATCTCCAGTGCATGTACTAAAGCCTCACTACTAAGCTTATGCCTGGCTAACTTAAGAATTCGCCTAACTTCCTGGTCCCTTACTCCATCAATAAATGTACCAACTGCTAACTGTTGTTGAAATTCCATTGGTGCATCAGGATAGGCTAGATGGGCTAATCTTTCTACCGCAGCTTCGAACTCCTGGAGGCTTTCTCCACCTCGTTGTCTGCGTGATTTGAGCTGAGCCTGATATACTTGGGCGAGATGTTGGTCGCCATATCTTAGTTCTAACGCTGCCTCCAAAATGCTAAAGTTTTGTTGCTGTGCGGCAAGAATTGTTTGGAGCAGGTCTAATGCTTGGCCCCTTAGTGCTAATACCAATGCTGTTGCTTTTTCCTCATCGTTCCAGTTATTTGAACGTGCAGCTGCCTCAAATTGTCTCTTATATGTTGACCATGAACTTTGACCGTCGAAGGAAGGTGGTTGTAACCTAGCACCAGACGACAGTACCAGTTGGCCATTCCTCTCCCTTAATTGTTGCTTGAGCCGGGCTACTTCTCCTTCAACAATACTGACTTTTCCCTCAACTTGACCGACTTTTTCTTTAACTTCACTGACCTCTCCTTTAACTTCATTAACTTCAGCCCGTACATCTTCTTTCAATTGTTCAGTTACCAAGAGCATGACTTGATGCTGTCCCTCCACAATTTGTCTTAATTCTTCCTGGCGTTCCTTTTTTCTGTTCTTCTTTTTCTTCCAGGCGTCTTCTCTCTTGATCTTCCATAATTTTCCTTTGTTCGTCTTTCTCTTCTTGTCGTATTCTCTCTTGTTCTTCTTTTTCTTCTTGGCGTCTTCTCTCTTGTTCTTCTTTTTCTTCTTGGCGTCTTATTTCTAGGCTTTCGATCATTTTTGTCAAGTCTTCTTTTTCTTCCTGACGTTTTCTCTCTTGATCTTCTTTTTCTTCCTGTCGCTTTCTTTCTTGATCTTCCACAATTTTTCTCTGTTCGTCCATCCGTTGTAACAATGCTGCAAGCATGTCCTGTGTTTGCTTCTCCGCCATACTTCTTGTTGTTGGCATTAACTCGCGACACGTAAATCAATTTCAGAATAAGGTTTATTACACTATAAAGTCCGTAAAATTTTGATATCACGTCTATTTTAATAATGGAATGTTCCAGAAAAATCTCGAAACAGCACTAGAAAGTCTTATTTAGAGTCTATACTTCCTTTGTTTTGACAAAATTCCCTTATCTCCACTAATTGTGCAATGGAATGTTCGAGAACTTTCACGAAATATCACTAATAAGTCTTCTTTTGAGTCTATAACACGTTCCCGTTAACACAGCTTACGTATCTTCTGTGGTTTCCAAATCGAATGTTCTAGAATTGTCACTAAAAGTCACTTATAGTCTTGTTTTTAGGTCTACAACACGTTTCCGTCGACACAATTCACGTATCTCCTGTAGTTTCCAAATAGAATGTTCTAGAATTTTCCCGAAATTGCACTAGTAGTCCTTTTTCTCAGTCTACAACACGTTATTACTAGCGGCACTCGCGTATTAGCAACTATTTCTAAATCGAATGTTCTAGAAACTTCTCGAAAATCCACTTCAGTCACTATTCAGTCCAGAAATAGTCCTTCAAACACTGTCCAGTAGTTTAATTCTTCGTGTCACCCCTAATTCCTGAGAAAAACACTGTAGAATCTTTTCGAATATTCCAGAAATTTCTCTTCCAATCCACTTCCGACACCAAATTGTTACGTGTTTGCTATCCACACAAACACCTACACTCGTAGATTCGTTGATTGAAAGTCCAGGTAACACTTATTCACTACTTTATTTATTAATTAACAATTAACAACAATAGACTAATTACTGTCTTAATTATAATTACACTTGTACACTTATAAGTCTCTTTCGTATTTCTTCTTTACTCGTTCACGTTCGACTTCAGACTAAATCTCGGCCCACCGTGCGTCTTATTTATACATCCATTGACCCAGTCTAGAGCACTCCAGAATATTCCCGGCCGTTCGTGTACAATTCCAGCCTAATCTAACCAGTCTACACAGTCCAGTGGCGTAACAATATTATGAGCATACAATTAACACAATAAACAATATTTGTTTCAGTAACGTAGCTACTAAACAAAAAACTAGTCAGAGGAATAAAATCAAGTTAAGAACAAATTGTTATAATTATTTTATTCCTTTTTCTAATTTTACAATTCTGATTTTTAGGGAGCTTGTTAGTGCGCCACATACCAAATTACAAAAAAAGTTGATATGTATATATATATATATATATATATATATATATATATATATATATATATATATATATATATATATATATATATATATATATATATATATATATATATATATATATATATATACATATAGTATTATTTAATTTTTCTTTTTTTTTTTTTGGTTAAATTGTATTTTGTCAAAAAGTACAGAAACTCTTTTTTTATTTCAACTATTTATAAACACTAAACAGCCTATACTTATCCATACCACTCGACCACAAAGCTATAATAATTATATTAATACATTACTATAGCAATAAAGTACTTCGTTTTTGTAATCAAGCTGGGCTGTTTTCATTTTGCTAAACATAGCTGTTTTTTTTCAATATCAGGCAAATATGTCCTATTTCTTAATACCTGACACGAGTTTACTGGTTAATCTAGTTAATTACCATACATTTGTAACTGACCCGAGTTATCTCGTGTTTGTTCATAAAATTCGTACCGAAGTTTTTTGACCTAAGTTATCTTTGCAACAGTTACGTTTCATTTTAGATTACCCCGATAAATCTCGGTTAGGCACTGAATACGTAAAACATTACTCCCACTTCTATGCCAGCCTATCCAAGCGTCTGCCAAGCGTGTGTATGACTATCTGTAAGACACTTTCCCGAATACATACTCGCAATTCAAAAAGAATACTGTCGAAGAGCTCATAACAAATGTTCGGCAAGTGTTTGATTTAACTTGCAATTTTGTCCGGTAGTACCTTTACGATAGATAAATAGTGAACCGAAGCTTTGGCTGACTTTTTTGAGACATAAGGTAATGCGCATGGAAAAAATTTGCATATAAATATTTGCCAAAAAAAAAGTTTGTTTCGAGATCAAATTAATACTATATAAAAATTAAGTTAATTTTGAACATAAAAATAAACACCCTAGATGATATGGGTGGTGCTGACTTAGAAGCAAATTACCTCAAAATTGTATTTCGAAAAAATGGAAAAAGTGTTTGATTCACGCTGAAATTTTAATACCGTTTCGATTAGATACATGCAATACTTGCAAAAAGCCAGATAATTTTGTCGGTGTTTAATAATTGCCAAGCGTGAAAACAAATA